CCTGTACCTGCATCCGATCAGCAGGTTTGAGTGTAGCGTACGTACCCCCAACCATCCCGTATCATCCCGGCAACGGACGAAAGCGTCGAGATCGTGTCCTGCGCGGCTGGCGTGATCGCGAAGCATTCGACGGCATGACGTGGTAGTGGAGTCGGCGTGCTAGCTCCACTCCCGCAAGGCTGAGTATATATCTCCAGAGCGCGGCATGGTCGAGATAGCCGCGGGTGGCATGCACGTTTTGCTGCACTGCCTGCAGCTGCCAGCGCAAAGGGTACTGTCGGCCGTCGGAGTGTGTTCGGACGTGTTGAGGTTCAACAGAAGGCGGGGCGGGGTAAACCGCGACGCTAACATCACGTTTGATCAACATTTCATGTTTCAAGGCGGATATCGGAGCGGAGAGAAGACGACCGAAGTCAGCAGAAGGTCCAGTCACGCGTGCAGCGAGGAGGGATGAGGGTGTGAACGCAGCGCATGTGCAGCCCGTGTGATAAGAAGAGGCTGTCTGCTATCCAACCTCCCACCACATGGGGGCTACATGCTGCACATGAGAGTACATCCTGCACATGGGCAGAGCAGCTGGTGAACGGTACCAGGTTTTTCAGTGCAGTGTGCCAAAATCTGCTGTTGGTGCTGTGGACCCAATCACTACTGGCGGGCTTCGCGCGATAAGACGACACGCACCGCACAACACCATCACTGTTCTCGGCCCTGGCTAGTGTACCTAACAATAAACCTTCTGGATTGTCTTCTGGCCTGTCCTGTTCGTCTCACAGGACTCGACCCCGCAGTGACACAGCTTCGGTTCGCTCGCTTCATGGCCAGCAGTTCGACACCCTGGCACTCCCACCGTGAGGGTGCCACTATGAGGACGCCGCCATGAGGGTGCTGACAGCGCTCTCTGCACCAGCGATCAAAACACGTCCCTCTCCACTCCACCAATGCACGCAAACCCACCTCCCCACGCCCTCACCGAATCGCATGGTGACGCGTGCCATGCGTGGAGCTCACTTGGCCCTACGTGGAGTCTCGTTTGGTGAAGGCACACCGCTCGGCGATACTACGACTCCGCTTCTCACGCGTGACGTGTTGTTTATGCGCGTCGAGTGGGCAACAACACAGAGCTTTCTTTTCCACGCTTCGCAATCACCACAACACTTAAGCAGCGGACGTCTGCCAGTAAAGCGTTTGGAGGGCGTCTGGGTCGAACTGACTTTGGTGTCATTCCCATGGTTTGGGAGGGCGTTGTGCAGTGTGGAAGCCATGCAGCGTCAACGGCCCGCACCCGCTAGCGAGCCATGTTTTCTTGGCGTAAACAAAGCTGGACCGCCGAGGAGCGCCCTCCGCAGCCGAATTATTATGAGGCCATTGGCACGCCGTAGATAGTTTGCAACCGTGTTCACAAACCCAATTGCCCTCTGCACAAAGCAAAAATTGATCTCCGCCGCACCCCACCTACACCGCCCCGCTGCCGTTCGCTCCATCTCGAGTCAGTGGAGCTGATGTTTTCTTGCACTGCCTCGCCCGACGACCTCCGCCGGTAGCAATTTCAGCTTCAATCTCCCCACGCAACGATCCCATAGCACCCAGACTCGTCGCCCTCGTGGGCCTACCCAACCATGGACGACGGTCCTCCACCTCCGCCGCCTCCGCATGGCGCAAACCCAAAGACTACAGGCGGCAGCCATGCACCTCCCGACCCCGGCCCAAGCGGCGGCCTGCCACCGGGCAACTACGACATCTTCATCATACCGCCGCACTCTTCAGGAGGCGGCTTCATATATCTTCCTAGCATGGGCGTACAGCAGAACAGCTTCATCGCGGGTGTGCTCAGCACCATCGCGAGCATCGTGCTGTGGAAGGCCGCCGAGCCTTACATGAAGCAATACTTCCTCATAGTCCGACATGGAGTGACGACTGGCGGCAATGGCGTCATACTGCTGGCGGTCTTGATGTTGGTTGCCGGGTGGGCAGTTGGTCAGACACAAGCAGGGGGTCGTTTTAGCAGTGGCGGAGGGGGCTATGGCCGTGGTGGAGCGGGAGCTGGAGCTGGCACACATACACCAGGCGGAAGCTCAAGCTATCAACGAGCGCCTCCACCACCGCCTCCAAACGGCGGCTTCCCCGGCAGTCCTCCACCCCACGGCGGATGGGGTGGATACCGTCAATACGGGGCTGGCTCGCCGCCACCACCACCTCAAGACGACGAACCTTCCTTCGACGAAGAGGCCGAGCGTGCCGAAGAAGAGCGGAAACAAGCAGAGGAAAAGGAGAAGCGGCGGAAAGAGAAGGAGGAGAAGAAACGGAAAGAAGAAGAAGAGCGCAAACAGAAGGAGGAAGAGCGCAAGAAAGCTGAGGAAGCCAAGAAGAAGCAGGAAGAGGAAGAAGCCGAACGCAAGCGCGCCGAAGAGGCAGAGGAGAAGAAGAAACAGGAAGAGGAGCTTAGGAAGAAACAAGAGGCGGATCTCAAGAAGAAGCTTAAGAAGGAGCTCAAGGAGGCTGAGGAGGCTAAGCGGAGAGAGGAAGAAGAAGAGCGCAAGCGTGCTGAAGAGGCCAAACGACAGGCCGAAGAAGAGGCTCGACGGCAGCGTGAAGCTGAAGAGCAGAGGCTAGCCGAAGAAGAGAGGAAGAAGCGTGAGGCCGAAGCTCAGAGGCTGGCTGAGGAGGAGAAGAAACGACAAGAAGAAGCTGAGCGTCAACGCATCGCAGAAGAGGAACGCAAGGCCGAAGAAGAGCGCAAACTTGCCGAAGAGGCTCGGATACGCGCTGAAGAGGAAAAGAAGAAGAAAGACGAAGAGGACCGCAGACGTGCCTGGGAAGAACTCAAGCGTGCCGAAGAAGCCCGACAGAAGAAGGAGGCTGAAGAAAAGGCCAAAGCAGAGGCAGCCAAAGCCGCCAAAGCCAAAGCTGAAAAGGAGAAGTGGGAGCAGATGCGCAAGCGTGAGCGCGAGCAACGCGAACGTGAAGCCCGCGAGCGCCTCGCCAAAGAGAAAGCCCGCAAGGCACAAGAAGCCATTGAGAAGGAGAAGGCCGAACGAGAGGCTCGTGAGGCTGAGGTGCGTGCAGCAGTCGAGAAGGAGATACGCGAGAAGCTCGAAGCCGAACAACGCGCCAAAGCCGCTGAGGAGGCCGCCAGAAAGGCTGAAGCAGAGAAGATTGCAGCCGAAGAGGCAGCCGCCAAAGCGAAGGCAGAAGCGGAGGCTGCTCTTGCGAAAGCGAAGACAGATGCTGAGCGTGCCGAACGCCTCAAAGCAGCTCGTGAGCGAGCTCAAAAGGATCGCGAAGCCCGCGAAGCAAAACTCAAAGCAGAAGCCGAACGCATCAAGGCCGAAGCCGCTACCGCAGCAGCCACAGCTGCAGTTCCTGACCTCACTGCCCGTCGCTCAACTACGTATGGTAACGTGGGTGGAGGTGAACGTCTCGATCCATATGCTGGAGCAAGGAGTACACCACCACCTGCTGCGTCCGTCACTTCCACACATTCTTCTCCTATCAAAGCCACCGTCACACCCAAGAAACCCTACGAACGACCAACCGCCGCATCCTACCTCGGCTCCGAGTCCGACGCCGCATCCTTCGTTCCACCCCGTACTGCCACGGGACCTGCCCGCAGCACAGCCACACGCTCTCATGTCTCAAGCGCATACTCTGAGTCTTCCTACGCACCTTCACAGTCTACAACTCGCACATCGCCGCCTGCATCGAGAAGTGGACCGTACGCAACAGCCGATCCGAACAAGATTGTTATCAAAGCGGTGTATCTGTTCAATGATCTCTTTCCTAAGCCCGTTGCGCAGTTGGTCAGTAATGTGGGCAAGGTCACCGATGGCTTGATTCTCAAGATACAGTCTGAGGGTTTGTTCATCGATGACGATGTTAGGGGTATTCCGCAGCGCGAGTGGGATGTTAAGGCTTGGACGTTGAAGATGGTTGAGGTAAGTCGTCTCTCCACACCCTCCCTACTTCCACACCTTTTCTCGTCATTTGATATATGGTATACATACTAACATATATCACAGACGGGAAAACAACCCACCAAAAACCTACACATACTCCGCGCCTCTGTCCGCGATGCCGACGGCAAGAAATACGTCTTCCTTATTGACGAGACCGAGAGCTGGAAACTGGCGCTTGGATTACAGCGTCTGAGGAAGGGAAGTCAGGTAAGAAGTTTGCAGAGCGCGCAGATGGCGCCGAATGAGATGGCGAGGGTGTTGAATGCTGTGCCGCCTATTGCTCTGTAGATCATCAATCATGAGCAGTGGGGCGGAAAGAGGTAGGGGAGAGTGTTGATACGATGGCATGGTACAGTAGTATGGGTGGTGGATTTGGATACCCACTTTCGTTCCGCATAAAGCATCAGCGGTGGAGTTGTTGTTGTTGTTTGTTTAGCAACGCATTGTTACGAGCGCATCTTTGTACTCTTCTTTCTTTCGTTGTATATGCATCTTTGGTGGAGAGGAAAGGAAAGGAAAAGAGATGAGAGAAGTATATATCACAACTACATATTGGCGCTGGGAGGTGGTGGGGAGGTGTGGTAAATAGGTTTTTTGGGTGTATGTAGGATGGTGAAATGGATACATGGCATGTGATGTGATTTTGAGATTTGTATTTGCGTGTGTGTGTATTGTCGCGATCTCTATTCACTTCCATGCCATGAATGGGGAATGTCTCGTTAGTGTTGGGCCTTGGCTTGGACATCGCGAGTTTGTGCCCAGGTGAAAGTTTGAATTTCGATACAAAGAATCTGGACATTGTGTATCCATTGTTTGGAAATTAGGGCGTCTGGTCCCTGACCATCCACTGCTAAAACTCGAGTGGCAGCGGGATCTAAACCAGTTGTGTATCCGTGCACGACCCTGAACCGTTGAAGCTCCTTCCGTCATCCCTGAACTCCACACGTTTGCTGCAGCCCAACGTCATCAGTCCACCAACCCACCTACCCACCATCTCAACTACCCTCAATCCAGATCCAGTCGCAATAATCATATTGCATGCGCACAATGTCATCCGACTACGGATCGGACATCGACTCCGACGTCGCAGATGTCGTCGACGAGATTGTTTCGTCGCAGCAAGCTCCCCCTTCTTCGGCGCAAGTGCCACGACCTGCGCTAAAGCCACTCAATACGAACACTCCCCTCACACCACCGTCATCCTATGAAAAATCAAACGAAATCACCCTTCAGCAATGGCACCAAGCTGCCTCAACGCCGCCGCCTTCGGCCTCGTCATCGGACGCCGAACCGTACCGCCTGACGTTTGGCAAACATGAGGGCAAGACGCTTGCGGAGATACCAACGTCGTATGTTACGTGGTTGATTAGGAATCCGATTTCGAGTAGGCCGATGGAGTTGATATATGCGTTGGAAGAGTGGCAGGAGGAGAAGAAGAATGGGAGGAAGGCGGCATCGCAATCGCAAGCATCGCAGGTGTCGATGTCGTCGCAACCGCAAGCCACATCTTCGAAGATGCCGCTCTCCCCGCCGTCCTCTCAAGCCTACCAGGCCCCTCCTCCATCGTCACAACCTGTGCTATCGAGCTCGCATGTCTCTAGATACACAAATCCTCCTTCGCCTTCTCGCTCGCCGTCACCACCACCTAGCACACAACAGTCATATCCTCCCTCGTCACAGGCCATGCCACCACAGCTTGCGCCGTCGCAAACGTATCCTCCTCCCTCGTCACAGCCCACGGCGCCTCAAGAACCGACTGGTGCACCCCTATACGTCCTCCCTTTCGGCGATTACAAAGGCAAGACTCTGCTTGAGGTACCAGAGGACTACCTCTACTATCTTGGTGCGAGCGAAGACAAGTTGGCTACTTTACCTGGTTTGTCTGATGCGCTCGGCTTGATGCAGAAGGGTCTACCTCCAGTCGCTATGGAGCCTATGGCGCCGAGTCGGGCTTCCTCACAAGCTCTACCACCGCCATCATCTGCACCTGGCCCGTATTTGGCACATGAACCGCCTGCTTCTAGCCAGGTTTCTATGACGAATCAACCACAGCAGGTTTCGCCACCACCTTCGACTGCGCCTAGCCATTATTCCCTCTGCAAAGACGACATCCCGAGTAGTTCGCAACCTTCCGCACCGCAGCTCTCTGCCTCGCAACCGACCCCACAACCTTCCTCTTCGCAACCCCCACCCCGTCGCGAACCATACCGTTTCGACTTCGGCAAGCACGAAGGCAAAACCATCGCCGAAGTCCCTCCCGATTACATGGCCTTCTTAAAAAGCAAGGGTTTCACTGAAACAAACGAGACACTGGCTGCAGGAGTCGCAGAGTACGAACGCCACCACCCACCCATCGGGACGCCGCGCAAGGGAGAATACAGATTCACGTTCGGCAAGCATGAAGGAAAGACTGTGGCACAAGTACCTCAGACCTACATTTGGTTTATCAAGAACAAAACGACGATTATGAAGGATAAGCCAGAGGTGGGCGCTGCGATTCGGCAGTTTGAGCGGACTCAGAAACGGACGGAGACGAAGGCTCAAAATCGTGGTCGTCGGAGGGCCTGGTCTCCGATGTGCTCATGTTGTGATTGAGCGCCCATTGCAAGAATGCCTTGCTCCTCGTCCACAGGAACAATACCCAGGCGAATCACGGTCTCCAGTACTGCTGTGAGTAGTAAACGTCATTGCGGGCGCTTCCAGAAGAACGGTAAACCCAAGCTCGCGCTTGAGGTCAATTCGAAACGCATACACAATCTGGTAGATCACAACATCTTCTGGCTTGTATCTTGTCTGTCATGTTTCCGAACACGACCAGGCAGTGCGCATTCGAGGGTTCGGGTGGCTCCTCCACGCTGGTTCAGGGCGGCACGTCAAAGCGATGAACCACCAGGCCATGTCTAGTCCGCGGACGGCCTATGCTACAACCTTACTGCGCTGCAGACTGATACGACTAGAGTACGACACTGTTGCATCATGTCACGCCTCGCTGCTATTGTCGTGCGACACGTCCCCTTGTCAGCCATGATTGGGTCCATCACATGTCTGCTCCCGTGGGTGTGCACTAGTCCCACTAATTGCGATGCGCATATCACTGGCATCAGGCCGGATTACTTTCGTTCAACAAGCACGTACGCACGTCACGATTCTTGCCCACGCTAGGAGCTCTTGTACCCAGGGCAAACCTATGTCGCTGACACTCTACAACACTCGTCTCAGCTTTCCGATTGCCAAATCCTTCCGTGACCCCACGAGCCGACCCTTGGAAGAACTTTTTTCTTGTAGATAGAACTTTACACTGTGCAGATAGTTTATTTGGTCCTTGATATGATGCCTGTGGACTGGATGGATGTCACAATTGTCGTTTGTCATCTTAACAAATTCATCAACGACAGTTGTGACGTCCGCTCACTAGTCAAGCATCACGTCTGGGACCAAACCAGTGCCCAGTCGAAGATTGTATAACGATTACATGTATTTTGTATCATGGGTTTTGTATGTAGGGTTGGGATCAGCAAAGTGCGTGTTGCTCGTACCAACAAATAGTCCATGTTGTGGCCTTCATGCATTGGAAAGGCATACGATCTTTGTCTGATACGCGTCAAACAGCGCCTTCTGCCATTGGCCGCGTCGTCCAGCGAGTGCGAGCATCCGGATAAAAGGCTGGGCTGACGCTATAGGTCGCAAGGTGATGCGACAGGTTGCTCAGCCACAGCCACTGGCGCGGGGGCGTCTAATCTCCAGCCTTGCGATTCAACACCCCAGATAAAACCAGCGTCCGCCACCTCTAAGTCCATAGCGTCCGCTCTTGACTTTTATTCTCGGTATAAATCCCATATCATGGCTTCTGGTCACGGGACAACGAGGGCACTTGAGTCAGACATAGCCCGACACAACACAAGCGGAGAGCCTACAGTTCCAGAATGCATTACTGGTTCCCCCACGATCAAATTTGCGCGCTTCAAGAACGCGACATTAGAGCTTTTCCAGGCGCCGATAGAATCTACTGATTACATCGCTTTCTCGCACGTCTGGGGCGAGTGGGCCTGGTGTTCCATTGAAGGCATACCGTACGAGGTGAAAGCATCAGAAGAGAAAGCACGGTTTATCGCAAACGATCTCCCCACCTTGGTGGGTGACGATGCCTTTTGGATGGACACGTTGACTGTCGATCAGCGAAATCCAGCTGAAGTCTCGGAAATCGTGGATGCCATTCCCGATATCTTCAGGATGGCAAGAAAGACAATTGCGGTCAGGGAATCCGATGGATTGTATGACTGCTGCATCGCTGCTGTTGCTGGGTTCGAAAACGCCCACGAGTTCACTGAAAAGTTACTGGATCATAGTAGGGGGCATAGTGACGACCTTTGCGCAGAGTCGTACCTCCAGAGATTGTGGACACTGCAAGAGTGTTTACTTTCTCATACGATAGAATTTGTGGTTGGAAGTAACAGTATGTCACGCTGTTTGCTTGTTGCTCGTGGTTAACCAAAGCTCAGACCAACCCAAGAAGCTCGCGGCGCGGGAACAGGCTCGCGACGCTATGTATACGACTTTCGTGATGTCTCTTTGGGTTCTAGCCTGCTCCTTCTGCGATATTCAGAGCGTCCCCGCGTTCATTGAATTCGTCAAGGCTTATGTCAATGGCGGCACCGTTGTTAATCCATACAGCGCAAAGCGTCGCCGAGATGAAGACATACACTCGCGTGGCTTCGTACAGATTAATCGATCATCTCACAGATCCGCTACCATGCCTCGGGACTACATATTCGCGACGATGCCTTCTTTTCCATGGTATACATATCCGAAGAAAGATGCTTTGTCGATGTCATTTGGGGAGATCTATTCAGATCTTTATCAGCAAGCTGAACGATGTGGGCATGCCTTTACATGCAGGTTCACTTGTTCGATGCTCGATCCCACATGCACAGATCCCTTGGATGATTGGCGACCAAGCGAACATCTTCCAAGTCCGACGACTCTTGGCGATTTCCTCAAACTAATGGGACAACGCGTGCCCGAAGCTTCAAATGCTTCTTCACCGCATGTGCACATTACATCGACTGTACAAATCGAGGAATTAGAGCATGAAAGCTCGCCGGACGTTCTCATCACCCGGCTAGAAGTAAGTTTCAAACATTTCAGAGGACAGTGGATGGGGTCTGAAATAGGTGGTGAGCTTTCAAAATTCAGGAATTATCCTAATCATCGATGGACGCTCAATCACGCTGATGCCGCGAGGTGCGGTTGGGTTCCCATTAACCCAGAGTGTGCAACACAAGTGTTTGACGATGGTGATCATACTCGGACGAGAACCGATCCCGGACTAGAATTCGAGGAAGGCGAGTGTGTAGTGGATGTCAGTAGCCTAGACGAGACAGAGCAAGAGGCCCGCCTGAATGAGGCTGGCGAGTATGTACCACTCTTTGCGCAGGCCAGGAAGATTCTCAACCGCATGTGGAGCGCATATATATCGCATAGCAATAGAGGAGTCCAGGATGTAGCGTGGGATCACTTCAAGCAACAGATGCAAGGTCTATGGTCGACACCACTGCTACATACCATACTCCTCCTCGCTGGAATGGTTAATTGCCGCGTTCCCTTATCCTCCACAGCATGGGTCAACAAGCTCTTCGTCCCCGTCTACATCCACCACGGCGAAGACCTCATTTCCATTGGTCTCTTGGCAAAGCACGCACGCCGGCCCAAACATCAAAGACAAGACCCTCTTCTTCTGCTATGCGTCGGCCAACACCTCCCGTCCGCCGACGGGAAAGCTTTTGGACAGGACTTGTTTCTTGTAGACCCGGAAACCAAGGTGCCGGTTGGCTTGGCCCCTGACATGATCAATGAAGGAATCTCTTTTGAGGCATCCGTAAGAGTCGCACTTTCTTTGTATAATGGCTGCTGTACAGATTTAGGAGGAAACAACATGTCCTTCACTCCCCGTCTGCTCTCTGATGAGCCGTCTGTTCCTAGAGAGGCTTGTGTTGCGAATCCCCATTAGGCTTTGGAGTGTGGTTGCCGATGACGGGATTGTGTATAGCTGTCGAATAAAACTGAAAAACTCAGAGATACTCTCCTCTGTGTACGATGTGCGGTAGAAAGTCCCGATTAACTCCGATGAATCCAGAGTACTTTAGCGCGCTCTTGAACGCCCTCTGTCAGGGGTTTCTCTACACCCCAACCATTCACTGTCATTCCGGAGAAAACATGTTCCGAGCAACTAACTACTCGCGACCGCTCCACGACCGCTTGCTCATACGCCTTTTCCACTTCCTCTCTCCCCCACCCTGCAGCCACAATGTCTACATTCAGTCATACCCCAGAACACGAGCGTTTTGCCATGCGTTGGAGCGCGTACGACTCGTCAGTTCCGGGCCCTCTAGCAAACAGTATGTACACGCGCTATACTTACCATTCATACTACCCTTGCTGACTATGCACTCAGAGATGACCGTTGAGAAACACCGCAAGTTCGCGAACCCCACATCCGACTTGGCTAGTGGTTCGCTTTACGAAAAGCGCCCTGTCAAGTCGGAAGCCGCCGAGAAGCTCAAGGCGCAGAAGGCAGACTACGAGGCCGCGATCGCGCAGAACAACCGGATCTTCGAGTCTATGCTTGACTTCTTCATCAACGACTACCGGACCAGGATCGCCGACATGAAGAAGGAGTCCCGTACTAAGCTCGAGAACACCGTCAAGAAATACGAAACCAATCTCAACGACGAAAAGAAAAACTACGATGCTACGCTCAAAGGCATGAAGACGGGCTACGAGACCAGGATCGCGGAGATGGAGAAAGAGTCCCAGACAAAGCTCGAGAACGTCACCAAGAATCACGATCGCCAGCTCAGGGAAAAGGAAAAACTTCAAGAGATTGAGATCGAACGCGTGAGGGACTTCATCAAGCATGATGTCGTCGAGATAAAGAAGAAATCCGAGACCAAGCTCAACCACCTCACCGAGAACTACGACGCCAAGATTGCTCACCTGGAGAACGAATCGAAGTCCAAGCTCGAGAAAACCATCAAGCACTACGAGACCAAGCTCAACGACGAGAAGAACCACTGCGACTGGCTGCTCAAAGAAATGAGGGAGGGCCATGAGACTATAATCACTGAGATCAAGAAGGAACACGCGCTCGAGTCTGAAGCCGCGCAGGAGGACTACGAGGCCGACCTCGACAGGCTCAATCAGAGCTCTGCGATTCTGCAACGTGTTTTCGCCGACCAGAGCTTGGAACTTGCAGCGCTCAAGGAGACAAAGACCAAGGAAGCTGACTTCCTCAGCAAGTCTGCCCAGCCAGATGCGGAAGCAAAAGATGCAGGTCTGCTCGCTGACAAGAAGCCGGATACCAATGACAAGAAGCCCGAGATCGACGCCCTCAAAGGCACTATCGACGCCCTCAAGGACACCGTCAGTATACAAATGGTAGCCGCAGAAGATCTCCGCGAGACTGTCAAGGACCTCCGAGAGCGCAATGCAAAGCTCGAAGCAGAGCTTCAGAAGAAGTAGGGTGAGACCCGACAGCTCGGCGCTGACACTCTCATGACAACTGGGTAACCCTGGAGATTCTCCATGTAGCCACAAGATGTTTGTAGAATATGAAAATGCTGTAACTACCTAGGTAGCCTCAACCTCTTTTGACGACACCGTGAATCACGTCAGATCTGATGTACAACGTGGAGGTATTAAGCCGACGCCTAGAGGTAAAGACGCTGCGAAAATTGGTAAATTGCCCAAGACATCGACGGAACTTACGGATGTGGTGCAAGTGCATGTAGCTTGACGTATAGAGTCGGCAGTGACACCTGGTCTTACACATCAGTAGCTAGTATATACGGGCCATCTCTTCCTCGTCTGCCGCATAACAGTACTGTAACAGAAGCATCTCTCAAAGTACGCTAAAATCTCAGAAGTGAAGGTGAAAGAGAGTTAGTTAGCTCCTCGCTTGATCCGCTCCGCACTTTCAGATCCCAACCTTTTCTACGTCCGTAAGGTTCTTCCTACACCGCTGCGGTTCGCAATTTCCTCCGCGTCACAAAGCCACCAGAGCATCCTACCACGTCGTGCGACCGCACCACACTTACTATATCGCTATCTCGGCTGCGCATCTTTGAGATCTCAGACGAGGTTTCCACAATCACAGTGACCCCCGACACAACCCACTACTTCACCGTCGCCAACCGCCTACAATGGCCACGATGAACACCACACCTTTACTCAACACGCGTGCCCCCGCTTTCAACGCCATTGCTGCTCGTGTACAAGGCGCGGACGCGGACGATGAGGACATTCTCGAGCGGGATCAAGAGACGGACGATGAGGCGAGCGGCGACGAGGCCATCGGCGAATCTGATGAGCGCGATGTTGAAGACATGAGCGATGACCACGACTCATCAATACCGAGCGTCAAGACCCCAGTAGAATCCCTAAACTTGGAAGACACAGCGTTCACACAGGACGTACTGAACCCGGAAGACTTGCCCGCCTTTGGTAAGTCATTATACTAGAGTTCCTGTCCTTCGCACGCAAATTGCATGATCACTGACAGCTTTGACTTAGGTGACGACTTAGATACCGCCAAATGGACGAAGCTCGCGCTCTGGCAAGAAGGCGGATATGAGGGTATGCTGAAAGTACTACTCAAGGACGAGATCGCGGCTCATTGTCACGACTCTGCTACAATATCAAACGCCGATGAGCAGTGCATCCTCGCTCCGGCGCGCATGATGGTCGCTTCTATGGATAAGGACATTCTCAAGGCCGTCATACGCAGTAATCTGGCTCTCCAAGCGAAGAGCAACAGTGTCATCAAGGACCGCTTGGACGACTTGTATGCTGAAGCCAAAGACAAACCATCAATCTACTACCAGCTCTTCGTCGACGACAACGGTATTCTCCTACGCCACACGAACTCATCACGATCCTGGACACCATGGAAGGATACGTCAATGCTACAAACCATACCCTCGCGAACGAGATCGACAACGTCAAGGAACCGCACATCGATCTGCTCAGGAACAGAGAAAGACAGCACATACCGCGAGTTCCAGTCTGCCGCCAGGGTCAAGGAAATCACCCGCCTGATCGAGAAAGTACGAGCGCGACTAAGCGGCTTACCACCTCAGCACCGCAACAAGCCATTGAAGCATCCACTCGTTCACGTTGGATATTCAAACCGCTCCCAAGCCCGCCTCAAGAAACACGCCAGCCACTCTCACTCTAACCCCGCCATGAACCTCGCCGAAGCAATCGCTGCCGTACTCTTCGCAAACAACACTCTTCCCAAACTATACAAGATGACCCAGTACATCATCTACATCTGCCACACCGCCTCACACGCATCTCTTTCCGAGATCGTATTAACCCGCCTCGCCGAAGGCTACATGGGAAACGGAGGCGGCTTCAGCCACTATCCCGCAGCCCGAAGCGCCAACTCTGCGCTCAAGACTTCGGAGCAGGAATGGGATAACTGTGCTCAGTATGTGATTGAGCGGTCGCCGCTGAGGGAGAACCTAAAGAGCGATATCGAGAGGTTGAAGAAGAAGCTTGCGGATGCGAGGGAAAGGAAGTCGAGTCTGCTCATGAAGTCCGCCAACCATGCGTTGCTCGCGAGGGTGAGGGAAATGAATGAGAGGAGGAAGGCTGGGCGGTCGGAAGAGGATCCAGAGATACACCAGAAGGCTGCGGACATCATTGCAGAGTTTGGTAAACGGCATCCGATCCCGGAGGACGAGGCAAGTATCTGAACATTCGAGATTGTATGGGTGGTGGAACTGAGAGCGTGGAAACAAAAGCGATGATTTGAGCCTTTCGCTTACTAACACAGCGATGGAACGACAGTTGTGTAGTGTAGATGAATAAAAGATCCCGAATCAATTGACGGTGCTATGGTTTCGGACAGTGTCGAAAGTGACACGTTAACCTAATCAAAAAGGACACCCTAGAGCCTACGTAGACGTTAGAGTAACTACTTTGTGAGTTTTTATCTTACTGTAGTCTATAGAATTATTTAGCATTATTTATCTACAAAGTAGTAAGGTGCCTACGTTGACGTTAGGTTACCCACTTTGCAGGTTTTATCTTGATGTAGTCTGCAGACCTGTTCATATTTTTCATGTATTAAGTGGTGAGATGAATGTAAGTAGAAAGAATTTGATGTACCATCATGGGTAATGCGGGTGAAGTGAATGAAGAGGAGATATTCTTGCATTGGTATTGAGTACATCTAGTCGTCTCGTCGTCCATGTTCCTTCCTTATCCCACCTATTTCCATCCATCCCACCCCTTCCTTATTTACCATACCATACAATCCATGTACATCCGACATATATTTTGTTCCCTTGAGCCATCCGCCCTGGTCTATCTAGATATACAGTGAGCGCGTTTTGGTGTCGTCGGTATGCGTAAAGTACATGCCCATCCATCTCACCTCCCCCAGTTGTTGCCCAACCAACCCAAAAACTCCAAAGAATGCAAGCCGAAGCCATACCAAAAAGCCAGATTCCCATGAATCAAAAGAGAAAGCGCGTCAGATTCGTAAAAGCTGCTGCTAAGATGTTCTGCAGGTATGATACACATCATTATCGCGCAAACAACAGCACTTTTTGTGGTATGTATACTTTTGGCGTAGCTTCGCAACAATATCAGACAACGTCAAAAACATGACATAGCAGGTTTAACGCTTCCTGGGGTTCGTCGGCTTCTTCTTCGACGGTGTCTTCTGCGCGTCACCCTCAATGTACTTGAGGAGATCCTCGATCTTGCGCTGGTCGACGCGACCACTTCCAGTGCGCTGGCTACCGGCGGCGGCAGCGGCATCACTAGCGGAAGGAGTGGCGGCAGCAGGTCGAAGGGGGTTGCGGCCGGGGAGCTGCATGCGGCGGATACGCGTCTTGGCGAGGTCGTTGAGCTGCTTGGCTTGGGACACAGCGCTGTGGGTGAGCTGTTCGAGCCAGCTCTCAGCTTCCTTGGTGTTGCGGTCATCTGCTCCGAGCACCTCCTTGAAGATGTTGTAAGACTCGCGCATGCGGTTGACACCACCGCGCATGTCCTTGTCGAGAGCCAGAGCTTGAGCGGTCTGGAACAGCAGAGTAGCGGTGTTGATCGAGTTCTTGCCGCAGACCTCCTCGCAGACGGCTAGCGAGGCCTCGAACCAGAGTCGCGACTCGTGGTACATCTTCGCGGCCTGCAGCATGACGGCGGCGTTGTTGAGGGTTGTGATCGAGTCGGGGTGGTCGGGGCCGTAGAGGATCTTCCACAGCTCGAGCGCGTGACGGACGTAGATCAGAGCGGCTGTGGTGTTACCCGAGCCATGCTCGAACAGACCGACGTTGAGGTAGGCAAGCACAGTCTCCGAGTGGTCGACACCAAGAGTTCGCTCGGACACGATGATGGCTTTGTGTGCGAGCTCAAGAGCCGAGACCTTGTCGTCAAGGCTGTAGAGCAGGTTCGACAGGGTGTGGTAAGCCTTAGCTACCTCAGGGTGCAGCACACCGTAGATCTGCTCGTGCAGCTGGAGAGACTCTAGGAGCAGTTCTTGGCCAAGCTCCTTCTGGTCTTGGGCAATGGACATGCGGCCTGCCTCAAGTGCCTCCTCAGCCAACAAGCTCTTTGGTGAAGCCTCCTTGATGACAGGGACGATGTTCAGAATGTCGTCCGCATGGAAGGTTTGTGGAGCAAGAGGAACAGTGGGGCTAGCCGTTCGGGCTGGCGGCGTGCTGATGGACTTGTTCTTCTTCTTCTTTGAAGATGTGGAGTGGCCGTTGGTCTGCGGCGCAGCGGGCTTCTCAGCCGGCTGGCTGGCGGCAAAGGTCTCCTTGGTGAAGGCGTACGACTTGCACTCCAGCTGGAGACCAAGCTTGAGGGAGACCTCACGGAGCATCTGCATCTCCTTGCCAGACTCGATCCACGACTGACCGAGGTCGTAGCGGAATCGTAGGGCAACCTGAGCAACGACCTCCTTCTTGAGGGCCTCAGGTGTGAGCTTCTCGAAGCTAAAGTCATCCTCGGGGTACATCTTCTTGAGGCTGCTGTCGCACTCAGCCACAGGCTTAGCGCTAACATCGGCGCCGAGCAAGCAGTTGAGTAGGTGAGCGGCTGCGGGTGCTGCGAAAGGCGCGGACACGTTGCGTAGCTTGGAGTTGGCAAAGTGCTTGAAACCACGTGCGATCATCTCCTGGATGATGAGACGCTTCAAGGCCTGAAGCCTTGGGTCAGGCTTGTCAGCCAGCTCAGCGAGCTTTCCGAGGTAGCGCATGTTCACACCCCGCTTGTGCAGGAGGTTGCTCAGGGACTGGCCGTCCATTGGGAAACCGACTTCGCCCTCCTTGAGCTCCTGGACCATGCGGGGGATGACCTCCGCAGTAAGATGTTCGCAAGCAGCGCGGACCTCAGCCTCGTCCTGAGCCCACTCCTTCTTGTCCTCCTCTGATTGCGGGTTCTGGCCCGAGAAGACATCAGGGTTGAGCGCGAAGGAGAATCCGGAAATGTCGACGCGCTCCTGCTCAGGATCTTCGGTCTCAGGCTTCTTCTCGGCGTCGGCGGTCTCCTTCTTTGCAACCTTGGCAGCCTTCTCCGCGGCCTTCCTCTCCGCCTTGGAGATTTTCTTGGCCTTGGGCATCTTCTCCTTCTCTTCATCAGAGTCCTCCTCTTCCGAAGAAGACTCCTCCTCAGATGACTCCTCTTCCGAAGATTCCTCTTCAGATGAGCTCTCTTCGGCCTTGGCTTCCTTCGCAGGGGCTTCGTCCTTCTTTGTGGTCTTCTTGGCCATCTGCTCCTTGACGTACTCGCGGAGCTTGACCCTGCCGTATGACTCTACGAGCTCAGGGCGGAGTGTTGTCATGCGGTGGGGGTAGTCCTTATCAGTCGCCTCCTTCTCACCCTCCTTGCTGGGCTCGGTCCAGTGTGCCTCTATCCAAGCAACGTCGAGAGGTGTGAGGCGGTAGAGGTCCAGAGCGTACCGCCTACCGTCGGTGCCGATCAGACCCTTAGTCTCAACACTTCCCTCAAGCTCGTGACGGACATTGTCCTTGTCCCATACGGGATGCTTCTTGACGCGCAGCGCCTTGGAGAGCTGCTCGAACAACGGGACGAACGACTTGTCATCGGCGACAATCTCCTTGCCCTCAACCGCACCGTAATCGATCTGGTGCTCGCCGGGGTCGCGCTGCTTGAAGATTCCGGGCACTATGCTCTGGCCAACAATGCGCTTTCCTTGGTAGTCGACGACGACGGTTCCAGAGGTGAAGAGGTTGTTGATGTCGAGGTTGTTGACAGCGCGGACACCGAAAACGTCCTTGCCTACAGCCACGCGCGCAGCCTCATCACCACCCTCAGCGCCGAATGTGCCGACGCCATCAGCGCCGAAGGAGTAGAAGATGTTGTTGTATACGAAGATCTGCGCGTCCTTGGCCTCGGTAGGGTTGAGAGGCGCAATCTCGCCCCGTGCTACCAGCATAGCACCGCGGGTCGCAGCGTCGTTGTAGTCGGCAAACAGCTTCGATGTGAGGCGCTCGCGGAAGACACGGTCGTGGACAGCCTCCTTGGGCATCTCCCTCGTCGACTGGAACTCTTCATTCCAGTCGCGGAGGGTCTCGGTGTTCTCAACACCCGAAATCAGGTAGCTCTCCTGTGTCCGCGCGAGATCCGGCTGGTGTGGGGTGAGGGACGACGTGGGTGCGGGCACCAACCATGGGTTGGCAGGAATGGCGTTGGAGAGCTGGAAGATGGTAAGCAGCTCCTTCTTCGCATTGTGCTCCAGCAATTCCTGGAACGAAGTGCGGAAAGATGGCGACAGGTCCTCAAGGAGGGTGAGGAGCGAGTGTGCCTGCTTGTCTTTTGGTGGCTGGCGCGGGAAGGGGTCGAAACTGGCATTCGACGACTTGTTGACGTAGAAGCCGGAGACGTGAGCTGTGATGTGGTGTTGCTCGTTCTCGTTGGTCGTGACTACCAGATACAGCAGGTGGCCCTTGGATCGGAGGTGGTATGGCGGGGGATTCCAGGGCGATACGGCGATGGATTTGATCGTCTTGGGCGCGGCTTCCTCGGTGGGCGGCAGCAGGTTCTTGATGTTGCCCGATGCCTTGAAGTCGTAGTCTGCCAATGGCGACTGCTCCGGGCCGTCCTGCTTGGGCTTGGAGATCTGCTCGTGGCCAACGGTGTCGTGCAGTGACAGTCCAGCCATGATGCCGTGCAGCGCATCGGTACGGTCACCGGCAGCGCCGATGAGCTCGCGGACGCGGACCACATGTAACCGCGCCTCCTTCTCTGTGTATGGGTCCTCCACCAGGGTGAGTACCGAATCGGCCTTCAGTCCCTCGACTTCAGAGAGTTCGACGTAATCGTTGATGCGCTTGCCGTCGTGCTCCAGGTGGAAGCACGAGTACTGGAACGTGTGGGGCGTCTCGATGATGCTCTGACGGAGGTCTTGCACCTGCTCGGCCGTTGAGATCTGGAGTCGTGAGTTTGTCGTCCATATTTTCTTTTCTAACTCTCAATACGCACCGTTATCGGCATCTCGAACGGCTCGTGTGGGAGCTTGATGGTGACCTGGAAGATGTCTAGATAAATTGTTAGATATATTGAATACCTGGAAAGTCAATTGACATACTGTCTGGCTGCTGGCCAGCGCCATCTTCCTCTGTGCCCTCATTCTGCCCCTCGGTGGTGACGTCTTTGCTGGGCGTCTTCTCGACCTCTGCGTTGCCATTGATGTTAGCCATGGGGTGCAAACAGAATTATTGCGCCT